GAGGTTCCCCCACCTGGGGCGAACATGGTCAGTGGCATGTGGATTTTCAGGGTGAAGCGGCCGCCGGGTTCTCCGCCTGTCTTCAAGGCGCGTTACGTTGCACGAGGCTTCAGTCAGCGAGAGGGAGTTGACTTCTTCCAGACCTTCTCCCCGACCCCGAAGATGACCACTCTTCGGGTTCTGCTGCACGTCGCTGCTCAGCGTGACTACGAGCTCCACTCTCTTGACTTCAGCACTGCTTTCCTACAGGGCAGCCTGCACGAGGAGATCTGGCTGCGCCGCCCACCTGGCTTCACTGGGTCGTTCCCTGCTGGTACCCAGTGGAGCCTCCGGCGGCCAGTCTACGGTCTCCGCCAGGCACCCCGTGAGTGGCACGACACACTGAGGACGACTCTTGCTGCTCTTGGGTTTGCTCCTTCTACTGCTGAACCGTCGCTGTTTCTACGCATCGACACCACTCTGCCGCCGTTCTACGTTCTCGTCTACGTAGACGACTTGGTCTTTGCTACTGCTGACACTGAGGCACTCGCCCACGTGAAGTCGGAGCTGCAGAAGAGACACACGTGCACAGACCTGGGTGAGCTAACAAGCTATCTTGGCTTGCGGATCACCCGGGACAGAGCACAGTGCACCATCACCTTGACTCAGTCACACATGGTGCAGCAGGTCCTTCAGCGCTTCCGCTTCACGTACTCCTCGCCTCAGCCCACTCCTCTGCCTACCGGTCACTCGCTCTCAGCCCTGCCTTTGGATGAGTCCGTAGAGCCGAGTGGCCCGTATCCAGAGCTTGTGGGCTGCCTCATGTACCTGATGACCTGCACTCGACCTGACCTTGCATACCCTCTTAGCATTCTAGCACGCTATGTCGCTCCTGGCCGTCACCGGAAGGAGCACATGGATGCCGCTAAGAGGGTGTTGCGCTACTTGTGCAGTACGTCGGGCATGGGGCTTGTGCTTGGAGGACGGAGAGACGTTGTCCTCACTGGGAACTCAGACGCTTCTTGGGCTGACGACCAGGCTACGCAGCGGTCGTCTCAGGGTTACACCTTCAGCCTTGGCTGTGGTTCAGTTTCTTGGCGTTCTACTCGCTCGTCTTTAGTTCTCAGTTCCAGTTGTGAGGCTGAGATCTACTCCACAGCCATGGCTGCACAGGAGTTACGCTGGCTCACCTACCTGCTGACCGACCTGGGAGAGCGGCCTCGTTCTCCTCCAGTGTTGTACGTCGACAACAAGGCCGCCCTTGCCTTGTGTCAGGAGCACAGAATGGAGCACAGAACGAAGCACATCGCTCTGCGCTACTTCCTTGCTCGAGAGCTGCAGCAGCGTGGTCAGCTTCGTCTTTCGTACGTGGCCACTCGGGCCAACACTGCTGATGTGTTCACCAAGGCGCTTCAGCCTTGTGATCATCAGCGTTTCTGTACTGTTCTAGGCCTTGTGCCTACTGTCCCTCACTTGCTCACTTCTTGACTCTGCTTGTACTGTGATCTCTATATATATACCTGCATGCTTACACTTGCTAGGTTGTGATCACTGTACCTCCTGTTATATTATCAAACTGCATGTGAACTGGTCTTGTGACCACTTGCTTGTGCTCGGAATTTGTGTGGTATCCTTGAGATCCACCCTGAGCTTGCTTTGCTTTGCTTTGCTTTGACTGGTCTTATGACCCCTAGCTCTCCCCCACTTAGCCTATGGGGGTGTGTCAAACATTATATGTGTTATAGTTTGTACGCTACAGTGGGTTAGCCTCTAGGGGGTACATTGCTCTAGTGTTTTGTACTTGTACTCTCATTCTTTCTAGTCCAACCACTTCACTCATTCGGACAATTTCTTGGAAATTCCAGAAGCAGGAGCTCATCGCCCTTTCGTCAGCTGAAGCCGAGTTCATCGTAGCGAGTGCAGCAGTTCGCGAAGGTCTCTACCTCACGGAACTCCCGCAAGAAACAAAAATGGCGATGAATGGGTCATTCAAGTTACTGTGTGACAACCAGAGCGAAATCAAGATCGCGAACAAAACTGGCTTCGGCAACCGCACGAAACGCATATCCCTCCGTTACTTCTTTTCCAAGGACGAAATCAACAAAGGGAAAGTCCAGCTCACCTACTTCCCAACTGGCGAGATGAACGCAACTTGTGCGGAGACTTGTGCGGAGTCGTCAAGAAAAGCCACGTGCCACACCTTCAGGAATGAAGGGGAGTGTTGGAGTAAGCAGGGAATTACATCAGCATTCCCGAAGGTGCAGCAGTATCGTACCAGCTACTACCGAAGCAACAACAGCAGCAGTGTCACGCATGTGCGCCTGATGCACACTATGGAGAAATTGAAGCCCAGTCACTGGACGACTGCTACACGATGGCCTATCATCCGGATCAGCCGCGTCTGCATCGGCGTCAGTATCCATGGTGCGCGGGGCTGTGCCTTGAAACCCCACTAAGAACAAACACCAATGGTGCGATGGAGTGCTCGTCAATGGAAGGGGAGATAATGGGACAGAATGTGGGGTTTGGTGCTCACCCCGTCAGCCAGCCGAGCAACAGACCGTTCCCTGTGTGCCGCACCCGAAAGTTGGGTGCAGACGAACCTGCTAAATGCTGCCTGTAAGGTTGGGTGATGTACATAGTGGTCGGTGTTCAGACATCCAGCTAAGTGTACGGTGGGCGGCTCACAGCGTGCGCTGGCCTGAAAGATGCCCTACCAGCCAATCACCGTACAAGCTGCTGCCAACACACGCGGAAATCAGAGGGATTTCCGGTGCGGTTCGGGTAAAAACCGGTAACGTGGGGATAAGGGGGGGAACGGATGTTCGCCGATACGTGTATCCTCTGCACAGAGTAAAATCGGTATCCGTAAAAGAAACACTGGGACATCAGAGGGCCTAACATGACTACTCTGACAAATCAGAGAAAACATAACTCTCAAAAATTTTACCTAGAGGTTCAGAGTGACCTTGCAAATACTACCCTGATTTTCAGAGAAACAGAGTGATTTACACTGATAAAAAAAGGCCTGTTTGCTATCTCCCACTTAGCCTATGGGGGTGTGTCAAACTGTATGTTTGTATCCTCTCTAGGCTATAGTGAGTTAGCCTACAAGGGGTACAACACTTTAGGGTTAGGTACTTGTACTCATGCATGCTACCTAGTCCATCATTCATGCCTGCTTATTCTAACAGGTTGGTGGGCCCTAACAGAGCGGTCCTACGGAGGGACTTGCTCTGATACCATGTCAGAAATAGAACGTAGGAATGATTGACTAGTAGGGAAGAATGAGTACAAGTACTAGGAATGACCTAAAGTGTTCTACTCTTTAGAGTATGCCCTACTACAGCATAGAGATAACAAATGCAATTTGACACCTGAGGCATCAGGGCAGGGGCGTGTAGAACACTATGAAATCTCAGCGTAATACAAATCATTTATCCTGAAATTACAAGGCTTTCAGTCAGGGCCCAAAATAGGTTCAGGTCCACTCTTTCAAATCAGGGTTCCAGGCCCCCAGTACCCTGACTGTTAGGGTAACATATTTCGTACCCTGCCAAAAACAGCCTAAAAAAACCAGCACACTGATTTTAAAAGGGTGAAATGTTTTCCGTCGACAATTACTCGTTTTAGTGTCATAACTCAACTGGATATGTCTCAGCTAGTCAGAAGTTAGGCAAGGTTTAGGAAGGCCGCGAGTTCAAATCTGGCTGGTGCACAAATTCTTTTGCGGCTTCGCAAGGAAAACCCTCGCTACAGAGGATTCTGTATCAGTGAAGTATACAGTGCACCCTGATATCGGCAGGGTAACAGAAATCGTTATCAGTGTAAATCAAAACTTAGCCTGTTTGCTATAGGGTAAAACTTTTTATACCCTGTTTTGGCAAGGGTAACTGGGAAAAAGCGGCCTACCATCAGGGCAAAAAGGGTATTTTACCCTTGAAATTTGGGCCCTGGTAATACGGTACACCTCCAGATTTCAGGGTGATGCTACCTCCACTTCCCTTTTAAAATCAGTGTACTGGTTTTTTTAGGCTGTTTTTGGCAGGGTACGAAATATGTTACTCTAACAGTCAGGATACTGGGGGCCTGGAACCCTGATTTGAAAGAGTGGACCTAAACCTATTTTGGGCCCTGCGTATTACCCTGATATCATAGGCTCGGTACTGTATTCTCCCGGATAAAACACCCCCCCGTAATTGTACACCCCCGGGTAGCTTGTGCGGGGTGGGTGTTATAATCGACCTCGTTTGTACTATACCCCCCCTTTTGGGGTGCTTTTCTATAACACCCCCCTTTTCTTATAGATTCCTATTATAGCTATTATCGAGTCCGATTCCTTACGGGAGGATATCGCGAGAATCGCTCCCTAGAAGAAATTTCGCATGTACTTTCACTTCCAGAAATTTCAGATACGTTAGAATCTGGCGAGATTTCCCCCCTCCCACAATCTCGCTGTCGCCACGCTGGCGAATCTTCCACTGCAAGTGGTCCAAGAGGTGAAGTGGCCCAAGTGGCCCACGATATTCTCGTACTCGGTTTTGCGGCATTGATCAACAATCTTGAAGTGAAGTCAGACCCCTGATTTTGTTTCACATATTTTCTGCTTGATAAAAAATATACCATATAATAAGACCCGGGTATTATGTAGGATTTTCCTTTGAGGAGACCCCCCCCATTTTTTTCCAGTGGTTTCCATAATACCCTAGGGTGTTTTATCCGAGAGAATACGGTACGTATCCCAACTGTATGCATCCATCCTAGTCATACATTCTCTCGTTCACACATAAATCCGGCGGGTTACGAAGGTCTTCCTTCTGTTGTAGTAGGTAGGTTGGAGTTTGAGGTTTAGGCAACTGACAAATTTGCCGAGGTTTAAATGGTGTACTCTATTTCTTGGCTATGTTAAGATTTTTCGTCAAAAAATTAGCCTCTACCGTGAGGCTTCGTCGGGAAAATAAAACCAACAAGCTATGCTTGTATAAGCGTCAGACAAAAGGTTTTATATTTATATTTTATTTTCAGACGGACACGGTGGGTGGGCGTGAGGCGCGGAGGGCGGCGGACCACTGCGAGGACATGAAGGCATAAGCGTGCGCTGCCAGGTGGTCCGAGTCATCCCAGCTGGGGGGAGCGGGGGGTAAGTGAGGCGCGCGCCAGGGAGAGGCACATGTAGAGAGAGGAGAGGACGGGAGAGAGGCGGGGAAAGAAGGCACGTGGTGGGCAAACGTGGTAGGCAGATGAGCTTGGATGCTGGGCAATGCTGGGAGGCCATGTGGCATGCGTGGTGCGGCATGGGTGGTGTGAGAGGAGCACGTCACAGGTTGCGCCCCCCTGAGACGGAGACTCACAGGTTGCGCCCCCCTGAGATGGAGACTCACAGGTTGCGCCACTCACAGGTTGCGCCACTCACAGGTTGCGCCAGACGGCGAGGGTGTTGGAGAGGGTGGGGCTGACCACCTCGGAGGAGAAGGACTCGAAGGTGATGGGGCCCCTGTACTGCGCGCGCGCCAAGGCTCGGAACAGCTGCGGGAAGTCCACCGTACCTGGGGGACAGGGCAGGTATGGATGGTGAAGGAAAACATATTGGTTGGTACCGATGTGGACAAAGACTGCTACGTGAGAGCTGCTGACGCACAAGCTGATATCGACGCTCTGCTCCCCACGTGGCATGGCATGGCAGCGCAGCAGGCGCGCGTCTGACCTGAGCCCAGGTAGCCACGGTGTGACTCGCCGATGTGCACGTAGCCCAGCTTGCTGCCACACAGCGCCACGGCGTCAGCCAGGCTGCTCTCCTCGATGTTCATGTGGTAGGAGTCGAGGTGCACCACCACGTTGCTGTGCCCCACCTCCTCCACCAGCTGCACCGCCTGCACCGCCCGTGCCGCACGGGGTGTACATGCAGGGATGGGGAGCGGGAGGATAAAAGGGGGAATAGAGCGGATCAGATGGTGGAGTGGTGCATCGGCACTGGGGTGAATTCCTGTTGCGCCTTGCTGCATTGCATTCCAAACACGTTGCTCTCACTCACCTGCGCCGCCGTGTTGAGCACGTTGCTCTCATATCGGTTCACCACCTCGAGCCCCAACGTCACGCCGCTATCCGCCGCCCGCGCCGCCACGCGCCTGAGTGCGCCGACCATGTTGTCGCGTGCTCTGCCGCCCGGGAAGGGCGTGGGGTACTTGGCAATAGCGCTGAAGGTCACGCCCGTCAGGTGCGACGCGCCTATGCCCGCCGCCACTGCCAGCGCTGACATCAGCAGCTGGAAAGGAAGGGGGGTTGGTGGGGTGGGGAGAGGGTGGAGGGGTAGGAGAAGAGGAAAGGGAAACGTGAATAACTGAGAATGCTTACGGAAAAAGCATGAACGATAGTCTTGGGAACGATAGTCTTGGGAATGAGATATTGTTGAAAATACTGGCGACGGTGACGACCCCAGTTGAGTGAAGGGTAGCAGGCGAGGAAGGGAAGAATGCAACGGCGGATGGATGACTGGGCCTTCCCAGCTCCCCCTCTCGCTCTCCCTCTCTCTTCCTCTCCATCCGTGCCACTCAGCCCACTGACCTGCTCGCCCCGGGCGGCAACATGGGGGTCGGCGCTGGAGATGTCTTTGTCGAGCGAGAGGCCGAGCGACGTGGAGGCGGCGAGCCCGTGGTGGCGCAGCAGGGCGCGCGTGTGGGCGGCGTCCACCGTGGCGGGGTCCAGCACCGGCACTGATGTGATGGCGGGCGAGGGGGCAAGGGGAGGGTGGGATGAGCAGCACGGGCGGAGAGAGAGGGAGGGGGAAAGAGGGGCAGCGAGAGAGGGTGAGGGTCCAGTGGAGAGGGAGGGTGAGGGAGACGTGGGGAGGGCGAGGGTGCATGAAAGAGGGAGGGTGAGAGAGACGTGGGGAGGCGGATGGTACATGAAAGGAGGGTGAGGGAGACGTGGGGAGGCGGATGGTACATGAAAGGAGGGTGAGGGAGACGTGGGGAGGCGGATGGTACATGAAAGGAGGGTGAGGGAGACGTGGGGAGGCGGATGGTACATGAAAGGAGGGTGAGGGAGACGTGGGGGCGGCCATGACAGTCCGCCCTGTCGGCCGTGCGCTGGGAGGGGTCTGCTACAGGCACTGGTGGGCGGAGGGGTCTGCTACAGGCACTGGTGGGCGGAGGGGTCTGCTACAGGCACTGGTGGGCGGAGGGGACTGCTACAGGCACTGGTGGGCGGAGGTGGGGATGGGGAGCAGAGAGAGGGGAGGCACGAATTGACGTGGCATGTTGGCTGGCATGGCGTGAGGAGTGGCATGGGAATGAGACAGTGGCAACGAGCAAGAGCCAGCAGCCACGGGCCGCCATGCGCGCTACACTGGCGAAGCTTAGTAGCGCACGGAGGGCGGACGCACGGACGGAGGACGCACGGAGGGCGGACGCACGCGGGACGACGCGTGGGGAGGGCGCAACGCGGGTGCGAGCGCGCGGCCATGGCTGATATGCGCCGTTGCGACTGCAGCGGCGCTCTAAGCCTAGCAGAACAGCACCGCTGACCTTCAATGAGGTCGTATCCGATAGCAGCGGATCGGCTTATAGCGCGTTCGCACTCCTCCTTGCTCCACCCGCCCACCCACACCATCGCATGCAGCCCGATTGGATTTGACCACTCTCTCCCGGCCGACCCGCCATCCTCGCCCGCTCCGCCCGCTGCAATCACCACGCGGGCTCGCCCCGCATTGTTCGCCGCGCGTGATTGCCGCTGCGGCGAGCGCGCGGCCGCAGGTGACGGCAGCGAGCGTGGCGTCGATTTCCGGAAGAGCGAAGCACGGGAGGGCAGGGACGGAAGAAGGTGCAGAGCGGGGGTGAAAATAAGGGCGGCCATGGCGCGAGGGGCTGTGGTGGGAGGTGTCGATGTGGTCAGGCAGGTCTGGGATGAAATGGCCCGCCAAAGTACAAGATTCACTGGAAATCCGCACTCTCGCGTACAGTAGAAGCACCAATTGTTACCGGGGGTTTTACTGTTCACTTTGCACAGTAACTCCTAACCCCTTCCTTATCCTTGTCTTCTTGGATTTCCTAGTGCCACGTGGCAGTCTACTTTTCTTGCTTCTACTTTCTAGTCCCACGAAGTACTTTCCATCATTCGATCTTGCATGCTATATCAACCTTGCTTGTATTCCCCAATATGAACCAATTCTCCTTCAACTCTTCAATTACTCAGTAACACTTTCGCCTATTTCGCCAACAGTTCTTTCGCCAAAGTCTTCCGCCGCGTTTTCATCCTCGACTTAGTCGACCCCACTAATCTTTAGCGGATTTAGGCCAAGGGGCCTAACACTTGGTATCCAGAGCCTTCGCGGGGAGCGACTTCCAACGAGCGACCGTCGACGACGAGACTACGACGTCATCGTCCCGCGGTGCCGACTTGCAGACTTGGAGTCGTCGAGCCGACATGGATGAAACCATGACCGCTCTCCCCAACGACATGGGCAACACGCTTGCTCAGCTCATGCGCCAACTCGAAACGTTGACGCTGGAAAATCGTCAGGTACGGGCTGAAATGCAACAGCTTCGCGTCAATTTCTCATGGTCATGCCGCACCATCTCCTGCACCCAACACGTCGACTGGCGCGGAAGCGCTGCCGGAACGTCGAAGCGCGCTCAAGCCGCAGAAGCCCGAGCCGTTCGACCCAAGTCAACGCGACGCGAACGTGCGGACGTGGATCTTCATGCTGAACAACTACTTCGCCGCGAGCGGGGTGCAAGAGGCGGACGCGCAGCAGCGGATCGAGTACTCCGTTACGCTGCTGAGGGGCCCGGCCTTGGAGTGGTGGCGCCAACTCACGCAAACTGCTGTAAGAAGGGCTCATTTGGACAGGCATCAACAGGGCGAAAGGCATGCAGCTGCAACTTCGAGCTTAGGGAGTTTAGCTTTGGGTGTTACCACGGTTCCGACGACATGGGAAGGATTTGAAGCGGCGCTGAAGAGAAGGTTCGACTTGGTGAATGCCTCCGAAGCTGCTAGGAAGCGTCTGCGTCATTTCCGGCAGATAGGAAACGTCCAGGAGTACACACGACGGTTCTTCAGCATCTGCAACGAGATAGACGATATCACGGAAACAGAGATGCGCGATCGCTATATCGAAAGGTTGAAGCCGGACATAGCGGAGATCATAGCAATTCACGGATTGTCCACCTTCGACTCGGTAGTCGCAGCAGCAGAACGCGTCGACGCAGTACAAAGCCGACGGAGTCGTGGCGATCGCGATAGGGGATACAAACCGATCAACAATTCTCGCTCGAGGGACGGACCGTCGCCCATGGAGATTGGTGCAGTTAACAGTGACAGCTCACAGAAAACGGGATTTAGGGGGAACTGTCACTACTGCAAAAAGCCGGGACACATGAAGCGGGACTGCCCACAGCTTAAGGAGCGGCAGCAGGGAAACGGAAACCGCCAGTAGATAGCGGGTCGCTAGCTGGTGTGGACGCTTCCGAACCCGCCACGTCTACCAACGTAGAGGAGACGGCCTTAGAGCAGTCATCTACGCCGAACGAGGTAGACACTGTTGATCGTCCAGTCGTGCTTCTAGGGAAGCTTCGCGGTGTTCCAGTCAAGATTCTCGTAGATAGCGGAGCTAGCCACTCGTTCGTGTCTTCATCGCTAGTTAGTCGTCTCCATCTTGAAGCAGATTCGGCAGTCAACTTCAAGGACGCTCGCATGGTAGATGGGACGCCACTTCACATAGGACCAGTCATTCGCAAGTTGCGCGTAGTGCTAGGACCAATCACAGTTAGGCGTGATTTCGATTATGCGACGCTGGACGGTTACGACTTCATCTTCGGTAGGGATTGGCTACGGACGGTTAACACTCAGTTCGATTGGGCTCAGGGAAGCTGCAGCGTCAAGGTAGATGGCGAGTTCCGGGAGCTGCCAGAGTGGAGCGATGCGGCCACATCCTCCACAACTATCATTAATGCTGTTCGTGTCCGACAGTTAGTGAAGCGTGCGGCGCGGATCTTTGCGGTTTTCCTTGAGGAGGTGGAAGCTGAGGAGGGGAAAGGAGGGAGTGCAGCAGTTGGTGAGAAGGCGACTCTTCCTGCTGAGGTGAGTGCACTGTTAGCAGAGTTCGCAGACGTCTTCCCTGACGAGTTGCCCCCAGGGTTGCCTCCCAGCCGAGCAGTAGACCATCGGATAGAGTTGGAGCCGGGAAGCAGACCAGTAGCGAAGCCGCAGTGGAGGTTGAGTCCATCAGAGACAGAGGAGATGGCGCAACAGGTTAGGCATTTCCTAGCGCAGGGGTTCATACAGCCATCTAGATCGCCTTGGGCAGCACCGATCCTTTTCGCGCCTAAGAAAGACGGAGGGTTACGGATGTGCATAGACTACCGCGCACTGAACGCCGCCACCGTCAAGAATAGATTCCCAGTTCCGATAGTAGAGGATCTTCTCGATGCAGTGCAGGGCGCTAGAGTCTTCTCAAAGATCGACCTCCGTTCGGGTTACCACCAGATTCGCGTAGTTCCAGAGGACCAGCACAAGACGACGTTTCGTACGAAGCAGGGGTTGTACGAGTTTAGGGTTCTTCTTCGGTTTGACCAACGGCCCAGCGAAGTTTCAGACGCTCATGAACACTGCCCTCTCCGAGTTCCTAGGTTCGTTCGTCGTGGTTTACCTAGACGACATCTTGATCTTCTCAAAGACGAAAGAGGAGAACGTGCAGCACTTGCAGAAGGTCTTCGAGGTCTTACGGAGGGAGCAGTTGTACGTGAAGCAGTCGAAGTGCGAGTTCTTCCTTCCAGAGGTCGAGTTTCTAGGTCATGTCGTATCCGCTAGTGGCATTAGAACCGACCCGAAGAAGATCGCAGCAGTACAGGATTGGGTAGCACCGACCTCAGTCAGGGAGTTGCAGAGCTTTCTCGGATTCGCCAATTACTACCGTCGTTTCGTTCAGGGTTACGCATCGATCGCTAGTTCACTCACCGACCTACTTCGGAAGGGCGTAGATTTCGATTGGGGTCCAGCGCAGCAGCAGGCGTTCGAGCCGATGAAGCAGTCGCTCACGTCTTCACCGACACTGTCGTACCCTGATCCCACTCGCCCGTACGTTGTAGTGACCGACGCTTCAGATCAGGCCATAGGAGCAGTGCTTCTTCAGGACTAGGGACGCGGGTTGCAGCCGATCGCGTACGAGTCGCGTAAGCTTAGGGGAGCGGAGTTGAACTATCCCATTCACGACAAGGAGGCGCTCGCGATCATCAATGCGTATAAGGTTTGGAGGTGCTACCTAGAGGGGGCAGATAGTGTGATACGCACGGACCATTGCTCGCTTCGCTTTCTCAAGTCGCAGCCGCAGCTGAGTCGTCGCCAGGCTAGATGGATGGAGTTCATGGAGGGGAGTTTCCACTACAGGATAGAGTATAAGCCAGGCGTGCGCAACCCAGCAGATCCGCTCACTCGCCCTAGTTGCCAGCTCGCTAGTCTCACAGTCACTGCCGGCCATCCACTTCTCACAGCACTCTTCGAGCACGGTTACACAGTAGATCCCGACTTCACACCACAGCCGCCCGCAGGAGCAGAGGTGCAGGGTAGTGTCTACATACGGAAGGGTACCACACGGATTTGGGTTCCTGCCTACCGCCCTCTTCGACAGCTCCTTCTTTCCGAGGCACACGACGTAGTTAGTGCAGGTCACTTTGGAGCAGATAAGACGGCTAAGACGCTTAGTCGCACGTACTTCTTGCCACGGCTTGCAGCAGACGTGGAGGATTACATTCGCTCGTGCGACGCGTGTCAGCGTACGAAGTCCTCTCGCCAGCGCAAGTCAGGACTTTTGCAGCCAATTCCACCACCCGACCGCCCTTGGCAGGTAGTTACGATGGACTTCATCATGGTTTTACCGCGCACAGTTAGGGGTCACGACGCCATCTTCGTGGTAGTGGATAAGTTTTCTCGAGCAGCGCACTTCATCCCCACGCACGGCAAGGTCACAGCACAGGAAGCCGCGACGCTGTTCGTAGATAACGTAGTCCGACTGCACGGGGTTCCAGATTCCATCATCTCAGACCGCGACCCTCGTTTCACTTCGAAGTTCTGGAAGCAGCTTTTCGCACTGTTTGGGACTCGCTTAGCCATGTCGTCTGCGTACCATCCAGAGACAGACGGACAGACCGAGCGTGTGAACCAGACCTTGGAGCAGATTCTTCGCAGCATCACGATGCACGACGCAGCCGCATGGGACAAGAAGCTGAGCATGGCCGAGTTCGCCTACAACAACACGCACCACTCGTCCACAGGCATGTCACCGTTCTTCGCACTGTACGGTCAGCACCCCAATGTCCCCACTCGTGTCGATCTCACACCCACAGTCCCTCGTGCGGACAACTTCCACCAGCATCTCACCTTCATTCATGATCACGTGAGGAAGCACCTTGAGCTCGCAAATGCACGCATGGCACGCACCACCAACCGCAGTGGTCGTGAGGTGTCGTTTTCAGTTGGCGACTGCCACAGGACAGCAAGCTTCGCCCTCGTTTCATTGGTCCATTCGTCATTGAGCGCGCACTAGGTCCAGTCGCATACCGCCTTCGCCTTCCCGCTCATTTCCGCATGCACCCGTCATTCCACGTGTCTCTCCTTCGTCCATACACCGATCCCAACGCCACCTTCTCGGGCCGTGATCGCAATCCACTGCCGGTAGCTGTTGACACCGACGAGCCCGACTACCAGATCCAGCGCATCCTCAGGCACCGACGCCGTCTCCAGGGGGGTGTCTCTTTCATCGACTTCTTGGTTCGTTGGCGTGGTTACGATGCAGCCGACGACAGCTGGGTTCCTTCGTCCTCGCTGTCTCCCGACAACGCTTGCCTTCAAGCGTACCT